TACTCACTACCCATAACAACGAACGAGTTCAAATCAATAAAGAGAAACATAGAAACAGATAAAGAAGAGTCGCAGCGATCTCTCGACGACGATTCTTCAATCTCTGCTCCCGGGAAACTCCGTCTTGATTCTCTCTCGAGTTTAGTGTTGGTGTTGGGGACGGGTTAGGGCTAGGGTTTTGGCTCGGAGTGGGGATAGGGATTGAGTCATTCGGTGTGGGTGTTGGGGTCGGGTTAGGGCTAGGGTTTTGGCTCGGCGTAGGGGAAGAGACTGAGTGACTCGGTGTGGGTGTTAGAGTTGGGTTTTGGCTCGGTGCGAGGGTAGGGACAGGTGGAGGAGGAGGAGGCTTTTGGACAGGTGGAGCAGGTATCGAGTTCCGGATGGGCATGGTGCGGATGGGGCCAGCTTGGCCGAGGCTTAGGACAAGGACATTGACCACAAGGAAAAGAGCCGAACTGGCTGAGATCGAAAATGCCATTTTGTTTCGAAGAAGTGGGGTGACCTTACGTGTGTATTTATAGGGTGAGTCCATTTGACTAAGTGACGTGTTTAATTAAATTGCATCGCCAAACCTCCTCTTTATTTGAAGTTGTGGAGTTTGGTTTCCATAGACATTAGCATTCTTAATTATGATCCTATTTCCCCACTTATAAACTGCAACAAAAGGAAATTAATATTACGACCTAACATTATTATTATTATTATTTAAACGTTAAAAATCCGTTTCATGTTGAAACAATAAAAGAGATCCATGTGAAAGTGAAAAGGTTGCAGGGAAACCGACAGAGGATGTTGTTTCTTGGGTAACAAGACACCAGTTTGGTGTTTTGTTGTGTCGCATTGGTTTGGGTTTTTGTTTCATATATTATAAATTAGGAATAAACTTAATGGCACATCTAATGCGTTTGAAAATATTTTCCAGAGCTCCACATATGCTTTACATTACAAATACAAAAAAGTAATCGAGTACTTATATAAGATCATCACTCTTGTTACGGCCGGTGAGATTTCGATTTTTCACAAATCTTTAAATTTTTTCTATAATTTGAAAATTCACCGCACATAATTGACTTAACTATATCATACAAAAAATTGGAAAAATCCATGTGAATCTAAATGAAAATTCAAATCTGGATTGAAAAGGAAATTACTTCATCTCTTACCCGTTGAGCCAACCATGGATCACAAATTTTAAATTTATCTTGTCGTTAGCTAAACATATAGAGAGTCATACATCATAAAAACTGTTAATAAAAATTCACTTACTGATATTTTATATCAAAAACACATTTTTCTTTATCATCATCTTTTTTTCTTCTTCTTCATCCGAAATACAAAAGGAAAAATAAGATATATAAAAAAAATGTTTAAATACAGTTTATACATAAACTATAACTTTTGAAACAGTTTCCTTGTATACAAAATGCTGTGCCATTTTAAGGTTTTGAGAGGTCGGAGATCGAATGTTCTTGATCATCGTTCTATATTAATTGGGGCTGCTAATGATGTTGAATTTAATTGCGTTTGATTTAATGCATGATTAATATATTATAATTCATCGCCAGATCAATATCCGACTAATTGAAATGTGCAGAGGAAACAAGAACCAGTTCCTTGGGTTTGAAGAAACCCAATGTTCTTATCTTATAGTTATAGACCACAATATATATTGCATCTTTCTCCATGGAAATGACGTGAAAACTTATAATAACTTTAAATTCATTATACGATTTTCCATAACAACACCAAACGTTACACACATTATACGTAGGGCTATATATATATATATATATATATATATATAAACTAGGAAAAAGCATACTTGCGACACAAGCAAGCATAAGCATATGTTTTATTCATAAAGTATACTTTTTGTTTAATTAGGGTTTAGCTAATTAAGAGAGAGAACACCGCTCTCATGGGCATCGGAACCCGATGGGGAACGCCATGTTACAAGCAGAAAAGATAGTCCTAATGGCCTCGTCGACCGCACCAAGAAGAGGAATCCTCCCAAACAGAAAGCAAAGGCAATCGGCTACTTGGACGTTGACCAGACCGACCATTGGGCTGCAGCAGGGCCGGTTCCGCGGGTCGCCCACCACGATGTTCCCGAGGGAAAGGACGCTGACGCAGGCTCCTAGCCTTAGGGGAAATCCGTCAGGGCACGTGCCTCCGGGCGAGGTCGGGCTCGGGGCCTGGGAAGGAGGCTGTGGAAGGAGTTGGGCACGAGCCGTGAGGGGGAGAAGAAGGTTGAATGCGAGGAAAAGAGATAGTATGGTTGAGTTCTTTGGGGCCATTTCTTGCAAATTTGAGCTGTGGGATAATGCGTTGTAGTTTGAGAAGAAACGGTGATGAGAAATGGGGTGTGAGGTTTTGGCGTATTTATAGGGTTTTTGGTAGGGATTGCCAAATTGGTTAATAATCAAAGTCAAACAAGAAATAATGTATAATTGTAACCGAACCGAATATATGATATAAAAAATCGAACAGTTATTATTTATCTAAAACTGAAAATAAGTCCGAAACAAATAAAAAATAAATAAATAACTCGATTTTTTAAATGAGTATTTTTGCCGATAAAAATAGAATGTGAACCAAATTGAATCAAAATCAAACCGAATTCTATATAAAAACCAAACGGTTAGAGTTTTTATAAAATCGAAATAATCCAATATATAATCAAATCGAACTCGAACCAAAACCCGAAATAGTCAACCCTATATTTTTTGTCCACCTCTTTTGTCATTTTAATTTAATTCCATTGCCAAAATTAGGGAAGTTTCATACCTTCCTTTTGCCGAACTTACACTATATCTATGTTTTAGGATCGTTTTTATTTTGTTTATTAATCTATTTTTCTGGTTTATGTATTAATTGTAGGTTTGATTCCCCCATCCCTAAATTCCGTAGGCAATATATGCGATGAAATTTATAACTTATGATCGTATACGAATTCGCAAGATATTTATATTAATTTGCAGGGGAATTAGATAAATTGCTATTGTTGGATAAGATCCATGATGGACCTCCCATGCCACGGGGGACATGAAACCCTTACTTCGAGGAGAGTAAGAAATCTTCAAGTGGTTACGATTCATCATCGAGGTTTTGTATAATATAAGTGTCAGAAAAAATAAAATAAAAAATATATGTGCGAGAAATCATAGTATCCTAATATGATTTCCAAACGTGTTATTTATTCTATCCGGCAAACAAGATTACATTTATACACATTTGAAACAAAACTGATCTCAATAATTTCGGTTTATTTATCGATAATTGTCACATACAAATTTGTTTAGAATAAAATAAAATAAAATCCTAGTGAATAATTTTTACAAAAAAAAAAACCATAAGAACATTCAAATCGCTGGAGGTAAAATCTACCCATTTTCAATTTTTTTTCGTGACTCTAATATACATTATAGACAATTTAAAAATATGAAAATATATATATATGTCTATTGAAGATAAAACAATTCATTAGTTAATTATTAATTAAAATATTTAGCTTCTCATATATATATATTTCAACTTAATGTCCACGTCTACGTACGGTCATTAATTTGACAAACCATCATTTTTTTATATTTTATTATTATTATTATGGAAGGAAAACCAAATATAATTTAAAATAGTTCATATTTCTCCGGTCCATTTCCGTTTCTTAAAAATTCTTAAAATCATATACAAAATGTTATTTTAAATTGTATATAATAAGCATTGATAGCTGTATCCTTGGTGGATTCAATTCAACTCAAGACCAATGAAATTTCAGCCCTATAAATAGAACAACCGGTCCCATCTCAAAAACATACATATATATTCAAATAAAATGGCCTCAAAGACCTTAACTTTCCTCGTCCTCATCCTCATCCTCGGCTTTGGCCTTGGTTTCATGGACATGACCTCGGCCACGTCGACGTGCCTCGGGAAAGGTCACCAAGTCAGGGAATGCGTCGAGGAAGCCAATTCGGATAACCCATCTCGGGATCGGTTGAAGAAGCTATGCTGCCATCTCCTCCGAGGAGTGAGCGAAGACAAGGTCGCACCATGCGTTTGTGATACCCTTAGGGCCTTCCAACTCAAAGACATCTCCTTTTCCTACGACCAGATCCTTCTCTCGTGTGACAAGTCTCCTTATTTCTACACTTGCTTGTAATAAAACCCTGAACTCAACATATATATATATATATATATATAAGCATTAAAGCATACTTCAATGAATCCGTGGATATATGCTGTGTTTTTCTTTTTTGCTGTTTGTGTTTCGGTTGCGTACTTGTAAACACTTTGGTGGGTCGTTGCACCGTACGGGAAATAAAGATGTGGATTTTGTGGTGTGATTCAACTAAGTGTGTATTTATATAATAAATATGAAGTATTTATATACAGTATTTGTACACTTGCTTATAAAAGAGCAACATATACGGAGTATATATGTGATCATATACTTGAATGAAATTGTGGATATATGTATGTGAAATAAATATGTGAATTATGTTGTGATTCAACTACATATACATATGTCGATCTACATTTAAAAATTTTTTTGAATATAACACTCGCTCTTGAATATGGTATAACATTCGATCCTGTAGCGGCATGACCCACTTCATTGTATATATATCTAATTATAATATATTTTCTAATTTAATGTTATAGCACTCCTCGTATATATGCCGTTTTTGTTCATCTGATAAAGTTTCAAGCTTTTGGATTCTTGAAAAAGCTCATCGGCCACAACAACCCTCTGATCAAGATTCTGATCCGCCATTGTCGTCTTCTTCCTCAAGAAGATGCCTAAACCATTCAACATCTTCTCACGCAAGAAACCCACTCGCCGATTCAATGATTACTACACCGATTGGACCAAAACCCTAACAGATCACCTCCTTCCTCTGCTCCGCCAATCTCTCTCCTCCGCCTCCTCCGCCGCCGTGCTCTCCTCCAACGTCGATCGCGTCCTCCGTCACCTCGTCTCCTACTACGAAACCCTAGATCTCGCCGCCGATTCCGACACTATCCCTTACCTCCTGTTCCCATCATGGAGGAACTCTCTCGAGACGCCATTCCTCTTCCTCGGCGATCTTCACCCTTACCTCTTCACCAATCTCCTCCGATCCTTCATCGATCGGGAGAACAACGACTCGGGCGAAGAAATCGAGCCTGATTTCCATCTGGGTCTGGATCGAATCGAGGAGAAGCCGTGGAAAATCGAGATGGCGTGGAAAGATCCGTCGGATGAGCTGGTGACGAGAATCGATCAGATCGAGTGCGCGATGAGGCTGATGGTACCTGTTCTTGTGGATCGGATGAGAAAGGCGCAGGGGAGATTCATGGGGAGAGTTGCAGAGAACTGGGTGTCGTCATCAATGTCGTCGTCATCATCGCAGGAAGCGGGCAAGAAGAAGAAGACGGGAGTGGCGGTGGTGGAGGAAGCAGCGAAGGAGGAGATGGAGGAGATGGCGAGCATCTTCGTGGACGCGAACCGGCTGAGAAAGAGTATAATTATGGACATTGTTGGAGCTTCGAGCGATCATCAAGCTGCTCTCTATCTCGAGGGTTTGTCCCAGTTTCTCGTTGGGTTTAAGGATCAGTCTCTGCTCCATGAATTCGAGCTCTGCCCACTACTGATCAGCAACAAGGTGGGAGCTTTAGTGAGTGGCGATGGGTTGAAATGAAACAAAAAAAAAAATCTTCAGATTTAGGAAATTTCTTTGTTGATAATTGAATCAGAAAGAGAAAACAAAATGTATGCTCATCGATTCTGATAGTGAATTTGATGTGAGGACTTCGTTCTTTTGGTAATAATACATGTTTTCTGTTTTCATATATATATATAAAGAAGAATATGATGGGAAACACAAATGGAATTATATTCGACTTTTTTTATTGATAAAAATGTTTATGTTTTAAAAGAATTTTTCTTCTTTCATTATTTGTAATCCAGTTCTGGTTCTATTTAGATTTTATAGGAATCATATTCGTTTTTATATTATATTGATCACAAAATCCATTTGGTGGGTTTGTATAATGGAAACAAATGTGGCCCTTAAAATTCTCGCAAGTTTGGGTCTGATACATGGGTTGAAAGTTGAAACGGTCGATACAACAATTTTTTTTATTTTTTTATAATTTAGAAGTTTATTGTTTTTTCGGTCTAACTATATTTTTTTTATAAAAATAAAAAAAAACTTATATAAATGTTTCTCTCCAAATAAATATTCGGATTTAGGTTGGGAAGAAATTTTAACCATCCGAAAAATAAAGAATTTGAGTTTGACCATAAAAAAATATATAATGTAAATATACCCGAAAATTAGAGTATGCAATAAAGAAAATAAGTTTAGAAAAACACAGCACATTTTAGACATATTTAAACAAAACAAAAAAAAAAATGCAGTCCTACATCACACATGGTATTGTTAATGACGTAAAACTATATAATTGGTTAGGTATGCACCGGCCGTTTACGGTTTACCAATGTATTATTTTTTTAAAAAAATGTCCGTACGATATTTTGTAATATGAAAATTATACAGTCAAGCAGCCGGTGTTAATAATGATTTAATAATTCGATATATACAACTATAAAAGATTATAAATATGTGTTTTTTTCTAATACGGAGAAAGAGTATAAACTACTTGGAGCGCAAGAAATGGTTATTGAAGCAATGGAGAGACATTGATTCTCTGGCGTGTTTTTTTTTAAAACAGCCAAATTGGATTATTCCATTCACATAAACCGAAGGTGCACATGCAATGAAAATGTCAATTTTTGACCTCGAATCCATATGCTGGTCCAATTATTTATATTATTATATTATAAGCCTTTGAATATCAAGATCGCCATTCAAAATTCATTTAAATTACATTTAACCCCGATTCTTTTTTTCCAAAAAGCAATCAAATCCAACGAGAAACGGACAATAATGATTGTGACGTCATCATGCGTAACTTCTAATGAGCTGGTCGTCGGATCCGATTCCTGTGACGTCATCATCGAGTCATTGGACGGTTGAAACTCGTCATAGATGTAGCGTTGGATACACGTGGCGAAGCTTCTATGAAACCGATGGGTCTCTATGGTGTATGCGGGCCTGTGGGCTGCCATGAAGCGTATTAGTGGGGGCCACCGGAATCCAGCCATTTGCTTTTCTGATGGTTATTATAATTAAATTAGCACGTGATTACTGATTCTATCTCTCAACGACCACCGGTAGTTACAGCTCACCGTTACATTTAAATCCTAATTAAACCCGATTAACAGAAATTACCTTTCAGCCCCTAATATGACGTGACTTTCAAGAAATCTACGCGGCCCTTTCCAATTTCCCAGCCCACGACACAAATCCTTAAATGAATTGTTTTTTCTTTATAGGATATAGTGTGGAATATTAATAATTTAATTACAGCTCACGTAATTCAAGGTAGGTTGAACTGGAGAATGACCGTAAAAAGCGAGTCGTGGGCCCACGTACGGCCCAACTAATACGTGGTAACGTAACAAGTATGATTTTACACGTGGCGTCTACGCGCCTCTTGATCTTCCCTGACTCACTGCCACGTGTTTTTTGACCACCCCAGCTAGTTCATAGGAACAACCAATCAACGTCCTTTAGTTTTTTTAATCTAGTTTTATTCGATGTATATATATGTGTGTGTAATTTTCACAAATTGGAAATGGTATTATGTAGGCTTCGATATAATGGTCTAATTAATTACTAATAAATTATAGATAACAATATCTTAATATTCAGGTTAATTAAATTTACATCAGCTGTAATGTGTGTATATATATATATATTCATAAAATTATTACAACGATGTCAAATTTACCATTATCTATATTAAATATCGTTACAATTGTACAAAACAGCAAAGCGATTGTGTAATGCATGGCTACAATATATGAATATATATATATATATATGTATAATAAAAAAACAAAGGACTAATGGTACATTTGGTAAATAAGTCAAACATGGAAGGTGCTTCCAAAAGTCAAAAACCGCGTAAGATGCTTTGTAATTGTAAGCCACGTCGACAAAAAACGCACTCTATAAATGCCTAAACCCTTCACCCTGTATTTTCCTTCTTCCTCCCCTCTTCTCCTACGTTCCCGATTCTCTGTATCTTCCCCCAATCGCCATCTCGATTCTTAGGGTTTTCGAAAAATCCCTCAGAATCTCATCTCCCCGGTAATTATTTTCCTCTTCGATCTCTCAGATTCCGTTTCCTACGTAGCAAATTCTGCATTTCCCTAACATTTTCCTCTTCCTGTTTTATTGATTTCTGCGAACAGGAAAACAAACGATTGTCGTCATCTTTATCGATTGAGATTGCAGCTCGTTTGAATCAGGTTCGAATTTCTACATTACTCCGTTTCTTTCTTTATCTCTATCGAAAATTCGGTGGTTTCCTTCGCTCGACTCTTACCTGAATCGATCCTTGGCGTTCTGTTTTTACATTTAGGTTTACTCTTTCAAATTTCAAAATTTTCCCATTTCGCGCGTTTGATTCACCTCGGTGCAAGAAAATTTTCCCCCTTATTAACGCAATCTTCGTATATTTCTCGCTCTCTCTGTTTGGATTCGAGTCATTTTTTTCCGTTCACGTGAGAATTTTGTGTATTCTCCTTTCGATCTTTTTTTCTTCTGAAATTTTGTCACAGTCTGTTTCCTCGTCTCATCGGAAAAAAGACACCTGCGTTTGTTTGTTTGTTTTTTTTGCGAATCCAAAGGAACTCTCGAAGAATCTCTACTCTGTTTTCGCAAAAGAAAAATGTTCTTACATAAATTTAAACTGTAAAGAAGATTTGTGTTAAAATAAAAATTAAAAATCCAAATTTGCGGATGATAAAGTTTAATATGTGTGATTAAAGACAGAATTTTAACAATTTTATGTAGCATCAATTTGGTTTGATAAGTTTAATATGTGCTAATATTTTATTATAGAAACTGTCGGACCAAGCGGGTAAAAACGATGTTGAAATTTTAGGTACCTGTCACATTCTTTGTAGCATACAGAAATTGAAAAGGATTGGGGGAAAACAACATGAAGTTTACGCGACTAATTCTTTTGTCAAAGTTGAATCATTTTTGCCCTATTGTTCACCAATACGTCGGTTTACGGTTTCAAACGTAGAATTTTTCATCATCAGTGACTTGGTTTTTTTTTTAACAATTGTTCACACAGGTTCTTGGTTAAGAAATATCCATTTGGGCTTTTTTTACTGTCAATGCGGTCATTAGAATCTTGAGATGATAAGGTAAGGAGCAAAGCCGTTCTTTTTTTTCCTTATTGTTTCAGAACAGTATCTTCAATCTCTGAGTCGTGGTTTGCTTTTCCATAATCAGTTTCCAAGATACCTGTTCTTGATTGATGGACTGTTCACCAACCAGTAGCGACAAGAAAACGCTCAAGAGGTGGTTTTTCATTGACAAAAGAGTTGGATAAAGAATCGTTTCGAAGAACTTTGTCTCTTGTAATGGAGTTGGATTCAAATCAGACGTCTCCTGTTCTCGCTGACCCTTCACCAGTCGACAAACCAAGGCTTGGTGTACCTTCTGCTTTCTCTTTCAGAAAATTCATAATGTCTCCACTGAGAAAGCCTTCTAATCTCGATGATGTTAGGTCCAACGGTTGGTTGGACGCCATGAAATCTTCATCGCCGCCACGAAAGAAGCTCATAAAGGATTTCAATGTGGAGGAAGTTACCACAGAAGATGATTTCGTTCACCGAACCTGGCTGGTAGTATATCTCATCCTCTTACTCTTCATGTTCTTGACAGTTCCTGCCTTGATGTTTCCTAATTCTAACCCAAGCTTTCCTGCTCCATGTTGACAGCTCAAGTACCCTTCCGCGATTAACTCGTTCGGGCACATTGCAGCCCAAGCAAAGAACAAGAAAATAGCTGTGTTTCTAGACTATGATGGAACACTTTCTCCCATAGTAGATGACCCTGATCGTGCCATTATGTCTGATTCTGTAATAGAACTAAACCCTTCTTCCCTGTCATATGTTTTTGCTAAAATTTCCAATCTTGTGGTGTCTGGTCTGAACTTTCAGATTATTCGTTTCTTTCAGATGCGTGCAGCAGTTAAGGATGTAGCAAAGTACTTTCCTACAGCAATAATCAGCGGTAGAAGCCGTGACAAGGTAAAACTCGAACAAAATTTATCTTCTCGCATGCGTGGAACTAAATGCATTTTAGGCTAAGGCAGAGTTTTTTAACTGATACAGTTTTGCTAAAACAGGTCTACAAATTAGTAGGACTAACCGAACTCTATTACGCGGGTAGTCATGGAATGGACATCTTGACCCCTGTAAATGGTAATTGTATTGAATCTACTAACGAAAAGGTGAATTGTGACTCCAAATCCATTGATCTGCTCTTATATTTTTTCGCTTCTTGATCAAATATTTCAGCCCTTTTCCTCTGTTTGTTATAGGTTAAAGAAGAGAACCTATTTCAGCCTGCTAGAGAGTTTATACAAGTGATCGACGAGATTTTTCTAGCCCTCGTCGAGAAAACAAAAAGTGTTAAAGGGGCAAAAGTCGAGAACCACAAGTTTTGTGTGTCTGTGCATTACCGTAATGTCAACGAGAAGGTAAATAAATAAATATTTTTTTTTGCTGGGTTTTTGATTGGCCCGGAAAGTTTTCAAGTTAATGAAGTTCTTTTCCCTGAAACCAGGAGTGGCCTACTGTTGCTCAACTCGTTCATGACCTCTTGAAACGATATCCTAATTTGCGTCTAACTCACGGGAGGAAGGTATGTGTGTATGGAATTCGAGTTAAAATGAATCAAAGAGACTAAGATGAAACTTTTGCTTATAAATGCATTGTCATGATATGTTCATCGGATCTTATGCTTAAACTACAAAAATATGGTTCGGTTTCAGGTTTTAGAGGTTCGTCCCGTGATTGACTGGAACAAAGGAAGAGCAATCGAGTTTCTGCTCGAGTCTCTCGGTACAGAAGCATCTCGTTTGGTTCTCTGTCCTCTCTGTTACATACATATACAACATTACATCTCGAAACAAAGATATGAATCTTCACTGTCCAATCCTTTTCAGGGCTAAGTAACAACGACGATGTGATCCCTATTTACATCGGAGATGACAAAACCGACGAAGATGCATTCAAGGTAACGTAGTAGTATAACAGAGTTCTTCAGGGAAACGTTCTTGATGAATCATAGGATTCATGTTTTTATTGGGGTTTGGGGGTGTTGTTTATTTTCTTGGGTTGTGTAGAGAGAAGATGATATATGAATAATCTCTACGACTTCTCCTTGTAAAAGGTATTGCGAGAAGGAAAGCGTGGATTTGGCATATTGGTATCAGCCGTACCTAAAGAAAGCAATGCACTCTACTCTCTTAGAGACACTTCTGAGGTAAACTAAGTAATCTGTTTTTACATATGTATGTACGCGTGTATGTACGTATGTGTGTGTGTGTACGCGTGTATGTATGTATGTACGTACGTACGTACGTGTATGTATGTATGTATGTAATTCTTCTTCTTCCTGGTGTTGCAGGTAAAGAAGTTTCTAAAGACATTGGTGAAATGGGCCAAGGTGGAAAAATCCACAGGTTTTTAATGGTTATGATGATGATGTTATCATGCTGATGGAGTTGGCCGAGTTTCCTTCATTTTCTCGTCCTTAATTCTGTTTGTTTTTCCTAATTTGCCCCACAATTAATTAATGATCATAGTTTACTTTGTAACTTTTTCATTTTTCCAGCCGAAATTTGTATTTTAATTTACATTCAATTATTCTTTCCGAGTACATGGGGCTAAAAGGTAGATATCATTTTTTTAATTGATTGTTACTTTTGAGAGTATTATTAAAGAATTATTATTACTTTGATTTTTTATTGACGAATTAGTATTATTATTGCTATTAGTTTATATGTTTATAATAATAGCTCTCAATTATACAATTGTTTGGTTTGATTGGTTTCGGTTCTTTTGTATTCGGAATAAATTGTCAATTTTTTTAGGTGTAACCAATCTCATAAAATTTTGGATTATATTATACCAAGTAAATCTGTTAGTTTTGTCATTATATATATTATATTTAATATTTTATTAAATAAAATTATAAAATAAAACCATTGTTAGCAGCAAAACATGGGCTCCGTGATCGGTGGATTAACAACAAAATAGCAAACTTCCAATTTTTATAGTTGTCGTTGTTGTCCACGAACAAAATCTCCCTTAGCTGTTCGTATTTTTGTCCTTTTCTTATAATGTTCCAATGTTCGTTTTGCGCCACGTGTCGTTCCTATGCTCGGCTCGAGCCGGTTGCATTTCGTTTCTCCCACACTTTAATGTAATTTTATATACGTGATTTTTTTTAACAATATATTCACTTGGTATTAGAATTTAAAGTTATTTCACACAAGTAAAATCAATTTAAATATCATTAATGATTTTTTATTTTATAAAATCACTGTAATTTACAAATTTGTTTTCTAAAACCAATAGACATTACATTTATAATGCACAAAAAAATTATGATTACTTTTGTTAGTCTGTAATCAAACTTTTTTTCCCTTTTTTTTTGGTATCTTAATGATAAAATTGTATCATTCATATCGTTCTATAGTTTTTTTTTACTGTACATAAAGAGCATTCACTAGACGCACATGATTCCAAATTTGGTTTATATATATATAGACACTAGATTGAGCTTCCTTGACTTGGCCCGTCGACCTAATTAGTCAATACGACTTACATGATTGAAACAACTAATTGTGTGATTAGGAACTAACCATTAATTATTAACTTATTATAATTATCAACAAGTGCATGTCCATCAATTATGAAAAGAACATGAGATTATATATTATGTAACATGTCATGTGTATAGATTTTTGTAAACTGGTTATAGACATGGGCCATCATCTCATGGATTATGTAGTAGTTATGATGAAGATCCTATATATATCTATATTCCGCCTGTTGGTGAGTGATCTCATCAACATGTGAATGTGTATATATTTTTATTCATAAGATCTTGAAGCATATTTTCATGCTACTCAAGTTTAATAATGCATCACACATTTGTTTACTGTATATATATATACAGACAGGGCCCTAAAAAGTAGGGGTGTCAATCGGGTTGGCCCGGTCCGACTCGGTCCGAGCCCGTACTCGCCCCGAAAGTTTCGGGTTTGGACTCGGACTGATCCGATTTTTTCGGGTCTATATAATTAAGCCCAAAATCCGGTCCTATGCATTCCGGACTCGGGTCGGGTCGGGCTGGACCGACCCGCGGACCTCCCTTTGTAAAATGTTATTTTTTTTTTCTTTTCTTCGTTTTTCTTTTTTAAATTTTCGGGTCGGCCTGACTCGAGTCCGAAGCCCAATTTAAATCCGGTATGAAAAACCGATTTTTTTCTAACCAAGAAACTTTGGCCCGAAACCTGCTATTTTTCGGATTATACCGGGCTGAGCTTCGGGCTTCGGACTTCGGGCAAGTGGAGCGGACTCCACATTTGATGGGCCCCACATTTTACAAAAATGATTTTTAAATACTAATAATTTATAATTATATTTATTAATATACATTTGATAAATAATTAAAATTATATTTGATATAAAGTTTCGTATTATCATCATTAATATTTATAATTTTTGAGTTATGTTTGTGATTTTTTAATATTAAATTTATCAATTAATATAACTGAAAAAAATTATTTAATATTTTATAAAAATAAAAAAATAAAAATATATTTTGTATGAGACCTCTAAATCGTTCGGGACGGCTCTATATATATATATGGTTGGAGTGGTTCAATCTTTTTTTTAAATATATATATATATATATATATATATATATATACTAATTAAGGTAAAGAGTAATGGGTTCAAGAATAAGGAAGAACACAAGATGAGTTCAAAACCATTGACCACTTGGATAGATATTCAAATCTCTATGATGTATCGAATATATAAGGTAAAACTGTTTGCATTAACAAATAAAACCAAAACCTTATAGTAAAAGGACAATTTCCCACAAAATTGAAATATAGCTAATTTGCAAATATTTGGGAAAATGATATGTGCATGGTCAAAGGTTTCCAATTGCAGACGTCAACAGCTAAATAGCGACTGAAGTTTGGCAAGTCGAATATGCATTTTCCCCACGTGGGATGGGAAATGTTATGTGCCGAATACTAAATTAGGTACACCAAAGTACATAAAATCGTTACCTTATATCCTTCCCTTTGATAAAGGGTCGGAATTTCTTTCTTCTTCTTCTTCTTTTTTTTTTTTTACTTCCCCGATTTGAATGTCCAGCTTATAAATTGCTTTTAAAATAACGGAAATTTTAAAAAAATAATGAGAAGATATTCGAGAAAATTTGATAATGGAAGACATGTGAGTGTCCGGTCGATGGTGATTATTCGGACGGTCCACCCTCTTTTACCATTGCTCTATTGCAATTACAATTTTTTCGTGTATATATATATATGTGTGTGTGTGTGTGTGTGTGTGTTAAAATAAAACCGTACAACCATTAAATATTTTAATTGCAAAAGGTATCAAATTAGTAATTAATGTGGAAGTTGATATTTGATTCATTATCACTTTAAATCTTAGTTATTATCTTGTAAAATGATGTCAATCATTATTACTGAAATATTTATTTGTTCTGAACGTTATTATGTAACTAAACATTTTATATATGAGAGGAAAAGAATATTGGAATTTTTATATTGGATTGTAATAAAATAGGATAGCAAACATCTATTATATATAGTGCATTATATATATATATATATATGCATGCATGAATCTGAGCATGTTACACAGATCTCACACGCCGTGCCGACTACCGACCAAATCTTCTCTCCTTGTCTCTTGTTCTCATCTTTGTTCTTCTTTTTAATTTCCATAATACTTTCATCTTATCACAATACAAAATATGCATGAAGCTTTTTTTATGTGTGTGTATATATATAATATGTGTATGTGTGTTAATTAATATATTGCGAGCGATAAATTTTAGCCTGCAAATTTGTATTAACAATATTCACGGCTTGCCTTAGCTCGAAGTCGTCAATTATATATATATATATATGGCGGATCCCATATAGAGGTGAATAAAGTCACACGCTCCATTTATTTAATTGAAAATTCTTAATTTCTTCATAAAATTTATAAAATTTTAAATTAAATTGTTATTTACCCTCAAAATAAAATTGAATCTATACCAAAGTAAAATTAAATATACTCCCCGCTATATATATTTTTCTAGATCCACCACTATATATATATATATATATATATATATATTTGTAAGAGTAATACTATAAAGTAATGAAGACTAGTATATCCGTGTTTAAAAAATGGGGATTAGTTTTGGAAAGTATCTTCAACAAATCAATGAGTATACAAGAGGGGAGATAGTACTACATATAGAAATGAACATATATCATATGTATGTATATATAACATTTGTATGGTGGGTCAAATTATTAAAAAAATAAACAAATACTGGTGGCATAATTTAGTTGGAAAAACTATCCATCAACGAGCACATGCAATTTTCAGGTAACGTGCAATAATAATAATACACACGCGCACACACACATTTATGATATTCAACGGTCGTCCCTGAAGTCTATAAAAGAGTTTTGCCCCAACCCCCATAGCCGAAAGACAGTCTTCTTCTTCTTCATCTCCTCCAACTGCAACATTTCTCTCAACTCTCATGAAAACTCTGTCTGTAATGTCTGTTCAGAATTAATTTCTTCTCCAGATAAAACCCATTTCTCAAAATTCAATTTTAAACAAACCCATTTAACCTTTCTTCGAAAAAGGTTTCCGCTTTCTTGTTCCCACTTTCTGTCGGAATCCGATCAAACCATGAAGAGGCACAGAGGTTTCAAGATCGGACAAAGGTTCGTTAAGATCTTCAAATGGATAGTCCGACCCAGAAGAATCAAACCTGGGAAACACCGTTACCCCACCCGAGTCCTCAACCCGGTCACTAGAATCTGTTCTTTAGCTCGGTGTCTCCGTCGTGGGGCCAAGAGACTGTGCGGCAAGAACACGGCTCCGGCTCCGGGTGCGGGTCAGATCCTACTGGGTAAGGATCCGAATTCGGCGGCGGTAGTTCCGAAGGGGCATTTGGCGGTATACATAGGCGAATCAGGAGGCGACACGCGCCGAGTTTTGGTGCCGGTGATACACTTCAACCACCCATTGTTCGGAGAATTGCTGGAGCAAGCGGAGCAGGTTTACGGGTTCGATCAACCGGGTCGGATCACGATCCCGTGCCGGGTCTCTGATTTTGAGAAGGTTCAGATGAGGATCGCCGCATGGGATCACTGCCGCAGGAAGCGGAGTTACAAGATTGTCTGATGCGACTTTTAGTTTTCTCAAGGTGAAAAAAAAACGGTCAAAAGAAGAAAGAGAAGAATAGGGAAAGGTACAAAATTTGGGTTTTTTGTTCTGTGAATATTTATTTAGTTTTATCTGATCTTATATACATGAATACAATTATTGATATACCATATACTCGACAAATTGTTCGTTTGGAGAATTAATTGTAACAATTTGTTTCATTAAAATTCGGAATTTTCATATTAAATTTCCAAAATGTCTATGTTTTTCTTTCTTTATTTTTCGAATTAAAAAGTTGTTACTTGGCTAAAATATTACTATCATATGAGGTTTAAAAAAATAAAACTAGACATTTAATGCAATCGTGAGCGCTGGAGTAGCTCAGTTGGTTAGAGCGTGTGGCTGTTAACCACAAGGTCGGAGGTTCAAGCCCTCCCTCTAGCGACTTTTATTTTCCCCTTCCCAAGTTTTGAAAAAACTCATTTTCGCCACTTAAAAACTGGATTCTTTAAGTTGAGCCCTCATATTAGGATTTGCGACCAAAACACCCCCCCTTACCAAAGTGAACCACTATTGGTTGGTTGAAGATACTGAGTATCATAACTATTGAAATTCATAAAATGGTACTTTACAGACGTATTAATATCTTTATGATGTCAATGGTATAATAATGATCGGTGATGCAAAAGAGTATAGAATGAGTTAAATATAAAAACAAATTAAATAAATTATTCGAAGATTGTATGGATATGAGATTAAACGGCCATGAAGACAAAATATAATTGAAAAGTCTTACACAGTATATGAGATTGTCGGCCGATATTATTTTCCCCATTGGTGAAACTGTAAGCGTATATACGGTATATACCACCATGCAAAACCAAATAGATCTGGACCGAGTCTGCATTCCTCCTAATGACACGGATATTCATGACCCAACAACCAAACACCCCTTTTTTTCTCTCCTGCACGACAAAAGAACATTCTAGAACTTCACCAGAACTATTGTTTTATGATATCATATGGTTTGAAAAATGCTAGTTTTTGTCCATTTTTTGAAGTGAAATCGAATCATTATCCTGTCTGATCCAGTGATGAGACATGTAAAGAAAGATGATGAGACATGAATTAAGAACCCAATGGTGATGAACAAGATTCAGAAGCAGGTCAATGTCGGAACTCGATTCAACAAAATGAGTTGTTCCCCTGCGTCTGCGTGCGTGTATTGGTTGATCTGTGGTCTTGTTCCATTTGAAACTTTGAAAGTGCCATAAAGTGATGTTGTCCAAGGTTATTTTTGTAGAGCTAATAATATGCTCTGATCAGCCGTTCAATTGCCTTTTGGACATCTTTGATTTACATTTTATGAACATAATATGTGTATATATATAGATACTGTTTCATGCCAGATTATTGGGTTAAATATTTCAAAATCATAGGGGTTGATATTTATAGCGGAAGATTGATATATCATATATATATATATATATATATATCTCCAAAAACTTCTAGTGATTCGAGTCATATGGTCCACACCACCTTACAAATTTTATGCAGAATCTTTCATGGCCTTGGCTAAGGCCGCTTGAGCGTGGCGATGAACCTTAGAGGGGCACGTAAGGGGCAAGCCAGATATTATAATCTGTTAAATTTTTTTTTTTTTTTTATGATTGGAAGGGTATTTCATTTTTTCTTGTTGATCATATGTATTTTTTTTTTGTTAAAATATTCCAAATGTTCATGACCAAGGTTATTAATCCAATAATTAAATCGAATCGAATAAGATATAATCGTAATCTAACCAAATTCGATAAAAAAAAATCGAACGGTTATGATTTCTCCGACAAAGTAAAAGTGAAACATTCGATATTTTTTTTTAAAAAAATGAGTTTTTTATAACAAAAAATCGAATTCGAATTGAATCGAATAAAAAAAAAAATAATCGAACTCGACTGAAATTTATATAAAAATGTAATGATTACCAAAATAACTGAAAATATATAACCCAACCGGATTACAAGACGAGAATATAAAAATGGTATGCTATTTTACATTAGTGGCCCAATAGACTTTAGAAGCCCAATATACGTTGCAAGGCCATACTATAAGATCAAGCCCATTAAATTCCTCGAGGAGTAGAGAAGGTTAGAAACTTCTGGAACAACGTAACTCTTTTTCTTCCCCTCCTTTTTGACATCGAAACGACCGTCGAAGAAGAAGAGCAAACGAGTGAAACCCAAAAGCTACCGTCGCCGCCGATCGGAGCTGAAGATGGATCCAACGAAGCTGAATGAACTGAAGCTGTTCATTGATCAATGCAAGACCAACCCTTCTGTACTCGCCGATCCCTCTCTCTCCTTCTTCCGCGACTATCTCGAGAGGTACCCTCTCTTCCTCTTCTCCTTCCATGTTCTCTCCCTGTCGATTCCGTTGGATTTTTTCCGAAATCAATCTCTAGTTCAGAGTGTTTGCTTGAATTTCCATGTCATTCTGTTTGTCGAAATCTGCACCGATTTGCCCCAGCATTGCTTCGCACATGTATGTCGATCTTTCGCTGTAGGTTTTAACTTCGAGGTTTTTGCATAGTGGGGTTTATTTCTTCTGGAAAAAGTTGATATCTTTTTCCATATTGAGGTTTTATTACTGTATCTCATTTGAAGTACTCTGATTTCAGTCTTGGTGCTAACTTGCCTCCTGCTGCTTATGATGGCAAAGGCTCCAAAGCGGTATGCTTCTCGTCTCTTCCGTTTGATTCTACGAATGTGTTTTCGTATTCCACGTCCTGCAAATGTCTATTGATTGATTGTTTTTGTTATACATACAGAAGAGTTATGTGGTAGAGGAGAGTGATGAGGATGTGGAGGGAACTGAAGAACCAAAAGACAAGGCTGAGGAAGAAGAGGAGGATGACATTATTGAATCTGATGTCGAGCTCGAAGGAGATACTGTTGAGCCTGACAATGATCCTCCTCAGAAGGTAACTTTTCCGGGCAACCTCAGTTATGATTGAGTTATTGTCCGTTTGCCTCTATAGATTAACTTTTACTCTGTTTGATTGGAATGTATAGAAGGGAGACCCATCAGTAGAGGTCACGGATGAGAGTCGTGAGGCTGCTCAGGAAGCCAAGGGCAAAGCCATGGAAGCCATTTCCGAAGGTACATTCATGTGTATGTATATATAAATATATCATCGTTTATTTGTCTTTTCGATATACCAGTAATTAGTTGCTGAATGCGTCTCTTTACCCTACATAACACTTATATGCAGGGAAATTGGATCAAGCGGTTGAGCATCTGACTCAGGCAATTTTGTTGAACCCGACATCAGCTATTATGTATGCCACCAGAGGTGAGTGTGAAAATATATTGTTTTCAGTTCCGATGAGATAATTCTTGTGGCTTGAAGCGTTTGATTGTTCTACATCCGTTTCAGCTACTGTCTACGTTAAGTTCAAGAAACCTAATGCCGCGATTCGAGATGCAAATGCTGCTTTGGAGGTTTGATTATCTCTCTCTGGATATATACATTAATATATTTTCCCTAACAATGTCTTGGGTTTAGTGATTATCTTGTACTCATTTGGCCCTTTTTTGCAGTTTAGACATGTTTTATTCAGTGTAGAGAAATTGTATCCAGTGAAAATGATGACAAACCAATGATATTATCTTAACTATTGTTAAACGATCTTTCCTCGTTTCTGCTGTAGGAACTAATATGAAAAATCCATGACACGGATGACAATAAAATTTTACATTCTTGAAATTTTTTCCGTAGATTAATCCCGATTCTGCTAAGGGATACAAATCTCGTGGCATGGCTCATGCCTTGCTTGGCCACTGGGAAGAGGCTGCAAAAGACCTTCACCTTGCATCAACGATTGATTATGATGAGGAAATTAGTGCTGTACTCAAAAAGGTATTCTTGACGTTTCTTTACGCAATGATGTAATTGCAAATGATTCTATGTGATTGTTGGATCTGTTTAGGATTTAGGGTTTAGGATTTTGAGTGCAATTCAGTCACTTTGCTTGCTAAATGCATATAATCGAACCCTGATCTTTGCGGAAAATGCTATTTGCCCATAAAGATATGTTACCATAATTGCAGTTAGTCTTCAGAAAGTTAATGATACGAATAATATTGCACGATATAGTCCATCATTTTCACTGAACCTTCTATTTGCAGGTCGAACCAAATGCTCATAGGATCGAGGAGCACCGTAGGAAGTATGACAGGCTACGCAAGGAAAGAGATGACAGAAAGGCTGAACGCGAGAGACAACGTCGCCGTGCTGAAGCACAGGTTGCTTTTGTACAAAATATTCTATATCTGTATCGAATCTATGGGTTTCATTATTTTCGGGGAACGGTGGGCTCATTATCCATCTCTCACGTCTGCTTTCTGTAGGCCGCCTATGAGAGAGCAAAGAAGCCAGAACAAACGTCGTCCAGCAGACAACCTGGTGGTGGGTTCCCGGGAGGAATGCCTGGCGGGTTTCCGGGAGGAATGCCTGGCGGGTTTCCGGGAGGAATGCCTGGTGGGTTCCCGGGAGGAATGCCTGGTGGGTTTCCGGGAGGTATGCCTGGCGGCAGGATGCCCGGGAATGTAGATTTCGGGAAAATATTGAATGTGAGTGTATAACTGTGGTGAATTCAGCATTTGTTCTTACAAGAACAGCCCTTGAAACACTCATCAAAACTCCAGTTTCAAAGTTGAGGCATATATGGAAGTGCTTGATATGGTCGTGATTTGAGATCTTTAACGCGCACTCTTTTTTGTTGGAAATATTTTGAGCAGGACCCTGAACTAATGGCTGCGTTTAGCGATCCAGAAATCATGGCTGCTCTCCAAGACGGTATGTATACGCCTTTATCATCCACTCACTTATTTAACCTACCCTGTTGATATCTGTAATCTTGGATGAAATATCTGTATAGCTTGTAGTATCTTAGATGCCTACCTTGACGAGCAGTGTCATCGTCCCAAAGCCTAGAAATCCACCCATATTTTAATTAAAAATCCGATCTTTGAAAGCTTTCTTACAAGGGGTTCTTGATTGATGGATGGTATGTGTAGTGATGAAGAACCCGGCGAATCTGGCAAAGCATCAGGCGAACCCGAAGGTGGCTCCTGTTATGGCTAAGATGATGAGCAAATTCGCCGGAGGCGGACCCAAATAACAAAACCTCTCTCTCCCTGTGTGTTAAGTCTTGGATTCTCACTTGATGTTTTGGGATTTGGTTTGGGTCGAAAGAGTTTTCCTTTCACAGTTGTGAGAAACGTTTTCTTTCTTGTCCATCGATTTGGCTTTTGGATCTTTTTCTTTTGGCTTTTAATCAAAAGTGTTGTGAATGGTAAAGGAATGAGGTTGTCGGAATTCAAGTCACTGCTGTTGACAATGACCACAATGGTTTCTCTTCATTTCTCTTTAACGCATACGTTCTAATAAGGTATACATATACATATATATAAATGCATATGAATAATATCATATTGTAATCGTATTAGTTAAAAGTATGATGTAAAAATCTTTGTTGGCCTTAAAAACGGTCTACGGCCGTTGTTTTCTTTTAATGTTATATGTTATTTTTATTTTGGGGTAAAATTGGAAATAAAAATTTATATAATTCTTAAAATTACAATACAGTTGCCGATACTTTATCCCAAAGCCTTTGATATCTACGAATCTGAACCATCATCGTCGTTGTCGTCTTCCAAACAGTTGCCGGGGAAAGAATCGCGCCGATCCTTCAATTCCCAGTGGATCTTCTCGGTGATTATATTTCTTCAATGGTGATCATTACGTATGGCTTTGTTCTCTGAAATTCGGGAAATTTTTCTGATGGGTCAGATATCTTAGGGTTCTTGTGGGTGCATTCTCTTCCGAGGATCCGTCAAAACCCATTGCCTGGATCCTCCAAATCTGTTGGCCCTTTTTGTCTGATCTTAGTTATTACGGTCAATGATGTGTTCGTCGTTCGTTCTAGTTTCAAGTTTCTGACGCGTTTAAGGGATCGAGAACACATCAAGTTGCAGTTTTCTGAATCTCATTTTCAATTTTTCGTAGGCTAATTTCATTTCTGAATTTGCAGAAAATTTTCTTCAGAGGGTTTTTACTTGTGATCTTTTGTGTTGTTTTTATAGTTCCCAATGCTTGTTGCAACCCTAAACTTCTGCTTCTGCGCAAAGCTGTGTTTTTTCCTTTCTATTATTAGAAATCATAGAATCTAGATTGTGTCTTGAACTTTATTGAAGCCCTTCTAAACCTTAAAAGTGTGATTAAAATCGTAGCTTTTCAGTATTTTAATTGTCTGATATTCTTCGTCTGATGAGGTGAAATGGTATATTATAAGATAAGATTTTTGATGTTCTGCTGGTATTGATTTCGTGTTGCAGGTTTGGTGGTGAAGGGAATCTCTCTGTAGAATGGGTGATTTCTCAATTCAGATCAGTTCTAAATTGATCAGACAGCTATCCGAGGCGCACATAAACCGAATACGAAACAAAAGAAAACCATACGCAAAAGCTTCAACCGAAACCCAGTTCAGACAGCAAGAAAACACTCCATGATACCGAGAAACCAAAGCCAGAGGCAGAACTGCCAGTTCGTCCACCATTCCTCCTCCCGGTACCGAAACAACCATCACAGTCGAATCCGTTCTAAAAGAGGGCGAGGAGGTTGTAGAGAAGTTGGAGAAACAAGAAAAGAACATGGCTCATGAAGAGTAAGAGAGAGAGAGAGACAATGATCTAATAGACAAGGAGTTCAAGATTCTGTTCTGTCCCCTGAGCCAATGCCTTGTTCTTCAGAGAATGATGCATTCTTCAAAATTTTACAAGGAGAATGTCGACGATCCTCTGAAATGTGGCGGATTGGCTAGGAGTTTTGCAGATTGTGCACATCGAGCCAGGGAGCAACCGAGTTCTGTGCCAAAAAAAAAATACATGGAAAAAAAATCTCGAGGGGGAGAAGAAAGAAGGGTGTTTTTGCTGCAAGATCTGATTGATGGTAAGAACATGTTATTTCCTTTTACTCTGACATGAAAAACAGAACAAGCTGATGAATCTGTGTGATCATACTCATTCTCAAGCCATGTATCAGATTTGGCTTAATTATATAGGGAGAGACCAAAAAGGACAAGAAGATCATAAACCTGTCGGCATACAATGTTGTCAAGTTTTGTCTTTGGTCCTAAAACCCAAATTTAGTCAGACTCATAAACGACATCAAACCAAAGATATCACAAGACAGGACAGAGATTTGATTCTACTCTTCTGTTTCTTCTATTGTTTCTTCTTCCTCACAATACAAAGCAAAGGCTGATGCTAGAGAACCGGAAAAGGCCCTTCTCATGTACATTTGGTAGTTAGCAGCAAATGCAAAGCCCGAAACCTCCCGTTAAGTCGAGGTAGATGTTTTACATTCTATGGAAGGGACTCACATTTGCCCTGAGCGTTTTTTTTTCCAGTGAGTTGTTGCCGGAAAAGTTCAGGGCGTCCTACTCGCATTTGAGGCCTCCGTTCTGTTTTCTGCTCTTCTCGGACTCCCCCTTCATCTGCAATGGGAAAGACATAGGTGGATGAATACAATGGTGAATCTTCCACAGATTAACACACAGAATCTATGCAAGCACAAGACGATTCTGATGTGTAACCAGGTAAACCTCTAGAAATACATGATACTTGCTTATATATTCAAGCTCGGTATGAAGTTTTGAATTTGATCACTGATGGCTGGAGTTGATGAAAGCATTCGGAAATCAACGAGCTAAAACTGTGGGACTTAGATCAAGAATTTACCTCCTGCAGAAGCTTCTTTTGGAACCGGTAGCCCTAATGAAGGGAGGAAAAAAAAGTTATATTCATAGGACCAATCTTTCAGCCAAATCATTGATGCAAATGAACGTCATTTAAAGCTAATTGCTCTGCCCTAACCTTGTCGGTTCCATAGATGTAATCACAGTAAGTGAAAACCGAAGCAAAATTGCTCTGGCTTTGGCCTCCAACGTAATGATGGTAGTCATGATACTCAGCACCTCCGTAGAAAGGTATGTATTTCGTTGGACTCCAGGGGAACTCATATCTGCGGCATCACAAGTGAACTTACATGTTAAACAATTATAAAAAAAAAAAGGATATCCACAACCACAATGCCATGGAAAAGGATCAGCATTTCAAACACATGGTCGGAAGCAGCATTTGCCATAGAAGAAAGCCCAGAGGAAGAAAGTTGGATGAAGAGCCTAGGGACCAAAGATCACATTGCCTACTTGCTATTAGGTCATTTGGGTAACTCTTGAAGTTGGTGTAAGAGGAAAAGTTGGTCGCTTGAAGAATGTTTTCGGCTCAGTCAATGGGATTGCTCGCGAAAAGGCACCAATACAATACCCAATAGCTAAAGAGCCTGAAAAGCCTCAAAAAGCTAATACCTACCTTAGCCCCCAGCGAAAAAAGGTGAACCACTAGTGAAGATCCCACACAGCTTGAGCACTTTTATATACATATAAATGCTAACAAGGGAAAGATGAAAGGGTATGGCAAAGCAATTCAAAAGTTGATATGATATTTGATATAGACGCAAATAAAACAAAGGGGGAAAAAAGCTAGAAACTTGGAAAAAGGCAAAGCAAACAAAAAGGGATTCTAGTATTTCCAAGACTTGGCCCTTACCCGCTATGCGTTTCAATCGCCTCCACTTGCCGTAAAGCTATCCATAACCAGAAGGTTATCATGTGACCAGGAGCAATGGCTGGTCCGAGAAACGACGGAATCCCAAGAAGCAAGACTTCGGCCCAATGGGCGTAAGTCGCCGCATATCCGAAGGGAGATACGTACTCGTGATGTACACGATGAACCTTCTCGTAACCCCATTTACAATGGAAGAATCTGTGGATCCAATAATTAGTGTAGTCCTCTATCAAGAAATACACCACCAACTGCGCCAAAATCTCCCATCCCGATGGCAATGGCAAGCCAGTTCGAATCCCAATCATCTGTTCATAGAAAATTATATGGGTGAATATCATATTTCAGTGAAGGATCTTCATCTACCAGGTGAAATTCCCCTCCAAGATATCAAAATGCAGTACGAATTTAGGTCAAATTCAAAATGGTCGTCAAATGTCGTAGCTCAATCATCAGATTCGAACAACCAAACACCCAGAAAAAGCAGTATCGGAGAAAAAATCAGAACATCCCGATAAACGCAAACATCTAAGAACTCGAAATTACCTCGATGGAAGGATAAGAAACGAGCTGCAATGGTCCAACGACGAGAAGAAACATCTTCATGACGTCTCTATAGCACCGAAACATATCGGAGACAGAGTACTGCACCTTGGGCTGAATCTTATACCGATCGAACCATCCGGAGGCGGATCGCGCGACCTCGACGAGGACGAGGGGGAGAGGAACGAAAGAGAAGATGAGGAAGAGGAATAAAATGGTGTGGCAGTGGAGGTAGTAGTCGGACTTGGTAGCGGAGTAATCGAACCAGGCAGTCTCCAACCACGTCAGGTTCCGGCCGAGCGCGACGGCCGCCTCCTCCACCGTGGCATACGGAATCATTGGTCTCTCCCCGGCGTTCTCCTCCTTCCGCCGGAGACGGCGACGGCGACAAGAGAGAGAGAAGGAAAGGGAGAGAAGTGACTACTACTGTTTGTTGTGGGCGATTCCTTGGATGGACGTGGCTCGAGTTATTCCTCCATACTGTGTTAATATATATATATATATATAATATTTCGGATTTTGAATTATACTTCAATTTAAATCTCTTAGATTTTGGAGTTTTAATTATTACTAATATTTAGGATTTGAATTGTATTAATTATTATAATTGTATTCTAGACACTAGTAGTTTTCTATCTATTTTTTTTATTTATAAATGTGATTCGGAACCATTTATATCTAAACCTTTTCGAACAATATATAATAAATACCGGTTAAAATATGTATTCGGTTGACGATCAATATATTTTGTACAAGACTAAATATCAAAATTTATGCGAAAATATTCCGATTATATCGTATATCAAGTAAACCTTTTTTATATATAATTTTCCTCGGATAAGACCTAGGGGTTGTATTTAGAATATATAATGATTATTATCATAAAACGCTAATGATAATATATATTTAAAGTTTAGTGTGATTACCCTTTTTAATGATTAATTTGTCTTCACGCTCATCAATTCACAAAGCAAATTATCAGCCGGTCCAAAAGCTTGATTAACCTAATAAGTCGTTTTAATGTGTACGATAAAGAAAAGCCATATGTAATGCGCCTTGAAAACTATAATTTTATAATTATGACTTTGACTTAAATGATAAGAAATTTGCGAATTCTATTTTCTAATATTGACAAACAAAACCATATATGCTGGGAACTTAGTATTCCAACATAATTTATGTTTAATAATTTTGTGATTAATTAATTAATTAATTAGTGACATGTTGGGAAGGGTTTTTCAAAGTTCTATTTATAGAAATTCAACGGTGTTTATACATTCAAAAAATATACACAGTCTTATATATACATATATAAAATATTCGCGTTTATACATTTAATATATATATATATATGCACATACATACATCCACGTTATACACACATGCACTTACATGTACATATATATATATATCTACATATACATATATATACACACAAAAATATATACACTTGTACATATATATATACTCATATACATTTTTATACATATATTTTTGAATCATGCAGGATTAGTTTCCATCAGCAAAACAACCAAATTTTAGAGGATTGGTTATCCGAAATGATAGAATCCATTTTTGTATGTAGGGCAGTAGGGGCGTAATCGCCGTTTTGTTATACGAAATATTGTATTATCCGTATGTCAATTGTCAAAGGATCGCAACTAAAAAAAATACACTACGATTTTGTAATATTATAGATAGTGAAATTTTTATTAATCAAATAATTGATTTTTAACCGGGAAATAAGTTTAAATAACTCAGATATGTTGGCAAATCAATTCATGGGGAATACTATATATATATAATATTAATATAAGTAGAGATATTTATGTTTTTTTATAATTTATATCATCCGACATTATCCGATCTGTTATTTATAATAAAAAGGAAGGAGCACGCCACATGAGAGAGCATCAATTGTGATGGTCCCTGTTCCATAATACAGTGTGAATTTACCTCCCTCTCTCTCTCTCTCTCTCTCTCTCTAATATATATATACATATAAAAAAACCCTATAAAATTAGTTACTCCTCTAAAAAGTTAGTTCATCTGAGATGTTTTGTATTTTGGAATCTTTTATTTTAAAATGTTACTAAAGATAATATTATCATTTTAATCAAAAAAATACATTTCTTACATAGCTAAATTATAAATATGTATAAAGTTTATATTTTAAAATGTTGCTCTATGTTTTTTTTCTCTAAATTATTAAATGTTTACTTCCACTATATTAAATCAGTTATCTTTGGAAGAGAGAGAGAGAGAGAGAGATAAGACGGGCCATATTCAAGCCCGGCCCATTTTCAAGAAAACCCGTAATCGAACCAAGAGAGGGTCCAGAAAACTCTCTTATATGTCATTACAAAATAATCTTGTTATATTCTGATTAATAATTAATTTGCATATCATTAATGTGGCACATTGAACGGTTCGGTTCGTCCGGTTAAGGAAATAGAATCTTAAAATCTTTTCCCCAGATTTGGTATGAGCTGGTAAACCGGAAATTCGAGGAAAATGGAATTGAACAAGAAGATCTAAAAAAAAGAAATCACTAAGACCAAAAAAAAGAGATCAGCTCGTTGAAAACCCTAATACTGGAAATCTGGAAAGCAAACTCTGGCGCTGAAAATACAGAAAAGATGTACAACTTGTGTGGAAATGGCCGTCCAAAATGTTCAACTCAAAGAGACGTTGATGTCGGAAGGTCTGTTTATGGGGTTAGAAGACAAGGACAGCGGCCAAGTGTCGGTTTGAAGAGTCGATGCCGGGAAGGTTACCCGGGATTCTGATGCGCTGGAGATCGGGATAGCAGCTGTCGGGGTCGGCATGTAATCATGCTTCTGCTTCTTCGGTTTCTGATCTTCCGCTACGAAACTCCCTACGACGACCTGGAATGGAAGACGATATATATAAATATCTCGGAGATATACAACCCGGATAACGGATCGGGATTTCACAATATTTCTCATGATACGCTGTGACCGAGGTCGTGAATATCCAACTGAATCCGAGAGCAGTTACTTCGGTTACAAACCTGAACTGAGCTAGCGGCGACGAGTAAACCCGCGAGACCACCGCCTATCACGCGTCCATCGGGACTTACCAACGAAACGCTCATCCCCCCGGTTCTGCTCCGAGTCCCGCCGACATCGTTAGGCATGAACGATCCGGACAACGACAGTATCTCAAACCGACCCTGAAACACAACATCCATCAGATTTTGTCCGAGAAAATCAAGTGATTGAATTAAAAAACACAAGTTTATACGAGATTGAATCACCTCGTACGTCAATGTACCGCCCGAGGAGTCGGGCTGACGGAGCGTGACGCTCGAAACGACGCCGTTTGCTGAGAGAACGCAAATAGCACGAGGCCCTTGTTGCGAAAACGAGATTATCTTCATCGTTACATCCTAAACAAACCCGATAACGGGTTCGAACATTTCATCAAACTCTGATACGATTCGAATAGAAACCCGATATGAGTTCGATTTATAACCATTCTTACTTACCTCACCGGCGTTCACAGTGATGACATGAGGCGTGAAATTGGCTCCTCCTACAGAGCAATTTACCCATTCACCTTCAGAACAGAGCACATTAAACCTCGTGGATAACACCGGTTAAGAGCAAACCGATTCCAAACCGAAATTAGGGTGGGTTTACGAATTCACATCTATTGCTTATGCTTCTTGTACTGATTTTTTTCAATACATATATACAGTTACGTACGGTTCATGTACACGAATTGCACACACATCCGTATACGTAGACGATACGTTTACGCATAAAAGAGATACATATGAGAGGCCCCACGTATACATACATACATGCATATAACATAAATCCCAGGAACATCCAAAATTTTCATAATCACCAAAATCGGATCAATCTTACGAAACAGAATTCAGACAAGATCTTCTTTCTTCTTCCTTCTCCGTAAGAGATTTTAGGGAAAGGGATTTACCTAAATTCTCGAGCTGATACTTTTTCCGGCTGAAGGAACCGGCTGGTTTCACTCTGCCGCGTTTCTCCGACGCCGAGAAATCGATGACGTGAGACGCCGGCGGCGGAGCTAGCGACGATATCGGCTTCGGAGAGAGCGCCGCCGCCGCCCCGTCGGGTCCGTACTTCCTGGGCCGTCCGCGTTTCTTCTTCATCGGTCCGCCGGAGAGCTTCTACGTTCCTAAAGAGATTTTTTTTTTTTGTTCGTTTCCGCATTCACAATGTTGTGTTCATGGGAAGAGGAAGAACGAGAGCTAGATGAAAGAGATGATGGAATAACCATGGAGAAAGAACGAACAACCATGGGAAAAGTCCATCTAACTTTCACATTCATCAGGGCTTTGCATTACATCAAGTTTGATGATGACAAAATGACCCTAGAACAAAAGACTTACGAAAGGGAAGTAGTGTGGACGGAATTGAAGAAACTTCATCCGTTCACCGATCCTTTAACCTCTCCTTATTATTCATTCAATTATCTTGCAAATTTGAATAACTCTTACAATGAGTTTATTTTGCAGATTTTATGTATGGACCCATTTCCTTCTTTTGAACAGATCCTAACGATGCTTCAACAAGAACAAGAGACTAGACGCTTGGCCGAAGAATCCAAAGAAATTGTTCACATGAAGCCTATTCACATGCCAAACGAGGGGGAATGTTTGGATTCGTTTGACATGGTGAATGGAGAAACAAAAGAAAAAGTTTCGGCATCCAAGGACAAAGAACAAAATTGGTCCATTTCTCCAACTCTTTGTCCTAATGATTTTAATGCTAACTTTGTTTGTGTAAATGATGGAGAACAAGAAAATCAAACAAAAGAGGACAGATTCAAAGAGGAACAATTCTCGGCCAAGTGCGAAGAGTTAGAAACGGATAAATTAGTGATTGAAGAAAAAGGGAGAGAAGAGACGATAGATGGACTTCAAACGGAGGCAAAGAACTCCGAAAAGGAGGCATCAAACACGTCCGAGCTACTTCCCTATCCATCACCAAGATCATATCCGAAAATCTCATTCACACTCATGAAATACCGAGTTTGCAATTCCTTCTCTTGTCCTTTTCAATTTGAATTTTCTGTGTCTATTGATATTTATAATGTTTTGAATGTTTTTGAACATAATAAGGTTGAGATATTCATGAAAGAATTTTGGGAGATAAGCTCATCCAATATGAAGATCATTGGCATAAGAATGCCTACAAATAGCTCGACCATGCCTATGAGTTATGAAAACTCTAGGCTTGGTATTTTTTATCCCTATACTTTCTTATTTGATTCATATTCATATAATGATATATTATATATCGATTATAAGTGCTTAGACTCTAAAAATATGGATAAATATATGATTGATGTAAATGAATGTTTAGATGATACATTTGAAGGCTATGATGATCACTTAGTGTATCTTCTGAAACTAGGATCTAAACTTGCTTTTTGCTACACTAGATCATTATTTTTATTGTTGTTTGATTTTCAAATTAATTTTGATAAGGGTAATAACACATTCGATCACAAAGAATGGTGTATTACCTCAACTAAAGAATCTAACCGTTTATTTGAAGTGTGGCAGGATCAAAATGATTATGGTCATTCAAATAAAGGAAAAACTATTGTTTTTCTCTTATTAACCGATATCTCGATCACCCATGAGATGTTAAGAGAGAAGACAACAATTTTTTTACACAAAGAAGTGTACAAAGATGCTTCAAATGAGGGGGAACCAAAAGATAGTTGCCTTGGAATCAAAGGTAAGCTTATGCATTTATTCATATATGAGACTAATGTTGATCTCATTGGGTTTCAGGTTTATGTCAAAATAAAACCATGGTGGAAAACATGTCAATGGAGACTCGTGACAAACAAAGAACCACCAAATCAAAGGAACCAATTAAAGCACAAGGAGTGTTCAAAGATATGTATCATTGCAACCGTGGGACGATCACAAATCAAAGTGTTTCATTCATGAACTTTATCAAGCAATGGATCACTTGGAAAAGCTCGAGGAAGAAACTCTCAAGTCATTCACTCTTCAAGATTGATTTTTCGGTTCTCTCCAAATCAATCTTGAGGGGGAATGTTGGAGATAATGGAGATTTTAGAATATACATCAAGCACAATCAAAGGATTCAACGGCTTCCACTTTCCATTTCTTATTAAAATATCATTATAAATATCATGTTTCCTTTTCTTATGATATAATTTTTCCATATCACACCTATTAGTTGTTGTATATATATTTGTAATATTTCTATTGCTATGAATATACAGAAATCATTTTACCAAAACGTGTCCCGCATACACATCTTGGCATATACTAGCCAACGATGTTCTTTGCTTAAACGTTCATCCTTTTTTTTTATTTTAGTCCTCGTTCTTAATCTTCTCATCCTTTAATCACTAAATTTATCAGGAGAGACCCTCCGTTGCCACCGGGATATTCTGCGGTGGAGCTCCTCCGGGCTGATGCGATGGCGGCGGTGGAGTAGCGGAGACGAGAGGTGGGTTTGAGCTCTCCGACCTCGGAGCTACGCGGAAGTCCGACGGCACGTCCGATCCCACCACCGTGACTCCGCCGTCGTCTCCGGCGGCTGTCCTGACGACTTCTCCGGTAGACTCCATATCCAAAACCATTAATCTTACTTTTTGATTTAAAAAACACAAGTTGATTTTAGGCTGATCAGAGATTAACAAAGATTTAACTCTCCAACAGCAAAGCTAAAATCATTCAACCCAGAAAAAGAAAATTGAAGAACAATAGCAACAAGAGAACTAAACGAGAAGAAGAAAAAGAAACAAAAAAAACTCCAAAATCAAAAGAACATAAAATCAAACAGCGAATATTGCGAGGATTTTCGGAAAATTATATGTCTAGGAAATACATATATATATATATATATATATATATATATTTTGTATTTGGTAAGAAAAATATTTCCTCAGAACTGAGCTTGGAAATTATGAGGGAAAAAAAATTGAGAAGAAAGTGAGAGAAATTAGATTTATTTATGAAGTGTGATTTCGTGGAAACAAAATAGAAATTGGATTTTTGAATTTGGAAATGGTGACATTACAAAAGGTATTTTCTTTCTGTATTTTAATTTTTTTAGCTCATTCCCTTCCAACTTTTTTTCCTAGCCTGTCCATAGCTATTTTAATATTGAAGAACTAAATAATATGAAAAGGAAATGCATTTATTTAATAGGATGTTATAATATCTCTAACCATAATTTCCATTTTTTAAAACTTTGGAATATATAGATATTCGTGTTTTTAGCTGGAATCCGACGGGAGAAAATTAATAAACAAAATAAAAACACTAAAATAATGTAGTAGAAAATTGAATGGAGTATACTATTATATTTTCTTTTTCTCTCTTTAAAAAAAAAGATAAAAAAGCTGGCCTCTAATATTATTTTTCTTTTTTGCCTTTGATTATCATTATTATTTTAAAATTCAAAATTTCTTTTTGTAATTTAATGTTTGGACTAATACGAAGAGCAAACAAAATATAATTTAAATTTCTGTAAGAAAATTTCGAAAAAAATAAAAGGGGGGAAATAACGTGGGTCCACCAAACATATATGCTTAATTAAGACATGCATTTTTTAAATATTTTTCCAGTAGAAACTAATAACACTACCAAAAAAAAGTCTCAATATTCAAATTAATATTTTTTCTACTTGTATTTGTTTTTTCTCAGTCTGCGGATGAAAATAAAAAATTACGAGCTGTTCTTTTGAATAAATATTCATTTATCGTAGAAATTATATGAGATTTAATATGAGTTTCATTCTCGTGAGTGAGAGTAGAAAGAACAAAGAAAATTATTTGAGTACAATTTAGCATTGATCCGGAAATCAGAACTACTAATTTTCCAAACAAAACAAGATAAATAATTAAATAAAAACGTTGTTTGAATAAAAACAAAGTAAAGAAATAAATAAATAAATAGGTTTTTGGATAAGAACGACCCGTTTTATTAAATGTTTTGTTAATTCAATTGGCTTAACTTAATTTAGGGCTATTAGGATAATCTATTTAAATAAATAAATTATAGTGATGTGCTCCATGTGCATTTCTTCTACAATTTTATTTTATTATCTTATTTTTAATTTTTTAGTTTTCATAGTTTGATTACATATTCATAACTATTATGCCCTGGAATATGGATTTTTATATTATTGTTATTTCTCATTTATAATAGTTGTCGGTATTCTGACCTTACTTTTGAAAAGGTAAATCCTAATAAAAAAACATTTCTATTAACAATATGTATTTCTTTATTATTTATTTATTTTTTATTAAATCCCACTTGATTCAAATTTTAAAGTAAAAATATCGTATTAGTCGACTACAAATTTATAAACTAAATGAATATATTATTTTAAAATATATAAACTCTTCCAACCTTTATATTAAACGAATTTTTTAAACCACTATAAAATTAATTATAAATATTTAAACAAATTTGAAAAACAATTATAAAATTGAACCATAATTTTTAAAACTATGTTTAAGAATCAAGAAATAATGTTTTTATAATAGTTTAAAAGTTTAGATTTTAATATACAAATTACGAAAAATCCATAGATTTTTCTAAAAAATTTAAAATTAATATATTTATACGGGATTATTTACAAATTCATGTATTAAATCTTTTTTTAATTTTAAGTTATTCAAGAGTTTTTTTTTTAAGTTACTTGAGATTTTGGAAAAAGAAGATAACTCCACGGCTCATTTTTTTCATCAAATAAATAAACTATACCTTTTTTATTTATAGGTTTTCGGGCTTAAGAACAAAACCAGCTTAAAGTTAATTAATGTTGGTTATTCATCCAGCTTAAAGTTACTAAACCATAGTTATTTTTCTTTATATTAAAGTAAAGTAAAGATTTTGATATTTTTCTTATTACAGAATTACCAAATCTGAAACTATATGAATGACAAACCATTTAAAAATAAAAGAAAGAGGAAATTGTCGTTAAACCGAGACGTCTGATACCATGAACGACAGATTTAGGAGAATGGTTTTCTGTATCTTGTATTATGTGATTTACAAGACATATATACACGTATGAAGAGATGATTGAGGAAACAAATACAACAAAGAATCACGGGATTGATACTAAAAATAATAACAATATTATTTCCTTCCTTTAAATATAAATTTAATTTCAGAATTACAAGAAGTTTAAAACAATAAAAAAAAAGATTTTTTCACAAGCTATTTCCTATTGGTCATTCTGGAATTCGGGCAGAAAATAGTTGTGTTGTGGGGGAGGGGTAATACCGTTATTTCTGAAATAACAAGTCAAATATAAGACTCCTTATTTATTTATTTAAATATTACTTATGACAATTTGATAATATTTGTAAGGGTAATACATATATTTTGTGTGTATTCAAAAGAAAATAATATGAAAAAGCTGGGTATAGTTAAGGCCCAACATAGTACATTAGAGGCCTTGAAGGCCCATAAAACTAAACGGGAACCTTATATTACCGGAAATTGGGTCGGGTTCAAAGGCATAATATCAAAACTACTCTTGTGTCAGATTATATCTTTTTTTAACCTATTTTTTGTGCGTTATCATATAATATTAACGGTGATTATCATATAGTTTTAATGGTGTAATTAACTTGACCAATGTAATTAATAAATCATGATGATCATTCTAATCACACAAAAATGATATAAAAAGGTATGTTCTTAAATCTATATAATCAAATAATAGTTTTTTTTATAGTGGCCCGGTTCAAAGAAAAAAATACATTAATAATATATGGTCCAACAAACAAGAATATTGTTAATTTCTTGATATGTTAAAAATTAATAGTAAATCGTAGCAGATATCGAATTATTTAAGCTCTTATAGAATATGTGAACGTTAACAGTTTATTAGTAGGTCAAGTTTGTGAAATTATTTCTTCTCCAAACTCTTTCAGTTAAGAAAAAAGAATTAAATTACTTTACCAAAAAAAATATTAAAATCTGATTATATATATAATACATGATTTAACCGGCGCATGAACCGGATTGGTCCAACTGAGGTTCACGTGCTTTGCTTTTATTGGTAAACTTAGCTGTTTCCCCATAATAATAATAATAATAATGTGTAGCAGCAATAATAAGTAACAAAATCTTTTATATATAAAATTGCTTACACATTTAATAATCCCCTCATCTCGTCTAAATTTTTAATTTTAAGTGTTGTTTCAAAAACATTTAAAATGATAGATTATTTTAAAAAATAGATAAACTCGCATATAAATACCTAAACTTTTACAAAAATCTCATATAAATATCTAGATTATAAAATTTTCATATAAATACTTAAATTTTTTTAAAATCCTAATAAATATCTAGAATTTTGAAAAATTTCCAAATAAATCCAAAATCCGTTAATGACATTACCTATTTTTATTTCAAAAAATATCTGAAATTTGTATTTATTTGAAAAAAATCAAAAGTTTAGGTATTTATATAAAATTTTAAAAAAATCAGATATTTATATAGAAATTTTATAGTTCAAATATTTATGTGAGATTTTTATAAAAATTTAGGTATTTATATGGTATTTTAAAAATATACATGTACATTTATAAATTATGAAACCTCGTCTGAAGTAATATTAGAGCATACATCATCATGCAAATGTCATGAAAAGACGTGTGCCGGTCAGCTACCCGACCAATTATTCAAATTTCCTATTAAAAAGGTTATGTTATTTTCATAAGAAATAAAATATCATTTTCCTCCACAAGCATGCTCTCGTGAGATATTATCTAAATCAATAAAATCCATTATAAGACTCTCCCACACTCTTATTGGACCGACATGTCGCTTTAGCAAGTTAACCACTCTACCTCTAAACAAAATGTAATAAATATTATTGGGTCACAAAATTATGACTTTTATAAAAAAAAACATTTAAATGAACATTTCAAAATATGTCATTATATAAGAAAAAAAAACTTTTGAAAATTTGATCAATAAATTGAGATATGGAACAAGATAAACGGATTGATGAATTATGAATAAATTTTATATACAAAGCTAATGATATTATTTTTCACAGGTCAATGTTTCTAACCAGCATATGGTATATATACAATACAAAAATAAAATTTCAAAACTATACGTACCAAAGATCTACCTAACATCTTCCTCCTTGTCATTTAACAAAGCAACCCACCTATCGGTCACAACAAGACCGATCACCAAATATTCCTAACCCCCAAACCACCGGAAAATACTAAGTATATGGACCGACATTAACCGGTAACAATTTCTTGTAACCCTAATTTAAAAATATGATTTGATCAAACCCATATGGTAGAGATTTCTCAGAACAAGACTCCCAAGCGACACCAACACTGCCCCTCCCCCGCCGTACCGTTGTGTTTCCGGCCGTTCCTCCTCTGCGGAATTCCGACACATCGCCGGAGAAGGTTCTAACACGTTTAAGTGTTTCGATCCGATCTTTTCTCTAACCGATTCGATTATTCTCGAGTCTGCTGGGCTCCCATTTGCATCCATCACGTAGAAAACGTTCTTGGTCACACCGTCTTTCGTCGATACATCAGCTCTCGCTACATTCAATCCGTTCTCTCGGAATATTCGTGTTACCTCCGCTAACAATCCCTGTCTATCCGCCGTGCAAAGTTCCAACCTCACACCCTACAGAAAAAGAAAACATAAACCGGAATACGGCTAAGATGATACCAAAGAGATTTTAGACCGACCGGTTTTAGATCTTTAACCGGGTAATACCTCAGATACCCTTCTTTCGACTGAAGCTTGTAGGCATTGGATCAAACGTTGTCTCTCTGGTTCTGAATTAACCGGAGTCCCATTGGCATGTCTGATGTAGAATTCCTGCAAACCGAAAAATACCGAATTAAATCAAACCAAATCAAAATCAACAGACCAAATCGGATCGAGTATTAAAAAGCACACAAGAACATTACGAAGAAAGCATTGGATCCATCTGTTCGGACCGAAGCGTGGAAAACAAGGTAAGCCATGTCGGTTAACGTGCAAACCACGTCGAAGAGAAGCTTCGTTCTATCTTTACACTGCAAGTTCACAACAGAATACCCTCGTCTCGGAAGATTCTGAACCGAAACAACAGTAGATTTCTGGGGATCGGGTTTCTTTTCGTAGTCTCGATCAGAAAACATCATTTGGTGCAATCGTCTCTCCATATGAATCCGACCCCCGAGTGATACGCACGTTCTCGTGGCGTTTCGGTAACTGTCGTCTCGTTTAAGCAAATTTCGCAACTGCCCTTCTATCCATTGAACTCGGTCAGAATCTCCATGGATCGGTGTCCCAGAATTGGGGTCTTTGACGTAGATCAAGGACGCGATTCTGCCATTGTGCGTCCAAGCCTTAGCCTCCACCACATCGCAATGCAGCTCGGCCAAAACCGCGAAAACCTCGGAGAGTAAACCGACTCGGTCTAATCCGGTTAACTCTATGGCGGTTAAACCGGTGTACTCTTCGTTTCTAGCGTAGTGAGATGACTCGATGGACTGTGGAGACAAAAAGCATCGGAGGATATAAGTGTCAGAGAATCAAAGATTATCGGTTTAAGTGAACGATTAACGGTTAATTTCTGTTACCTTTTCAATGTAACCGATAAGGTTTTCGTCGGTTAATTTGTTCCCTTTCGAATCAGTAACATGAAAAACTGCACAAACGTTCAATTTCAACCCAGCCACCACAATCACTGAACTTGCAAATTATAATATAAAAACTTTGATTTATAATCGTAATTAAAAATAAGATAATCATCGGTGATCATTACCATCCATGTTCCATTTCCCGTCCGAGGAAATGTAAGCTTTCCGAATCCACAGACCCATGTCCGTGAGAAGCTGTACGGACTCTAGCAATGTGCCCTGACTTCTCGCGCTGTCGATCTGGAGAAATACAAAAATAAAAATAATAAACAATAAACGACTGCATTAAAAGCGTATATGGGTCATTATAATTACCAAAAATAATAATAATTAAAAACCGGAAGAAACGTTATAAGGTTGCGTAAGGGCGAAAACCTTGACGACGGTTGAATTAGGGCAAACTCCATTGTCGATGACGACCCTGTGGTGGATGACGAAAAAGAGACACTGACCCTTAAATCCGGTTGTCATGTAAGAGAAATATATATATATATATATATATATATATATATATATATTGTAGAAGTAATTGAAATTGTCAATATAATGTTTGACTTTTTGATAAATACAGCAATATGCTGTTAGATCATGCCGGCGATGGGTGAGAAAAAGGCTGAATTTTTCAACCAATTTAGAAAACAAAAATTTAAAAAAAATCATACATAAATATTAAATTCGAAATTTTCCCGACAATCAGGAACCCAATTACTCTGCATATTTCAATGAAATCATATTTATTGTAATGAATCTCGACATGCGTGAGCCAAAACATATTACAAAGAGCAAAAAAGGGACAAATTTTCTAGATTTACAAAGAAATAAATCAAGTATATCAATTAGAAATCATCATGGGTTTTGAGCAAAACCTTAGATTTACACGTAAAAAAACAAAGAAAATTTCTATAAAATTTAGAAATTAAGAACTATAAAAGTACCTGGGCATGTTCATCCGTACAACAAGCTTCTCGTACTCATTAGAGCAATCTGACAACTCCATCTTCTTTTTCTTCTTCTTCTTCCTTCAGAAACCACATAACCCTAAAACAGAACCTTTGCCCTTCTCTTATTTCTCCTCCTCTCCTTCCTCAGGATTTCAAGAGATTCACCATGGAAATACGATCAAGCAAGTTTTCTCCGATCTTCTTGAGGTTTCTCTCTCTAGAAAACCAAATCTTCCCACACAGATACACACACTCTCTCTCTCTCTCTCTATGTTGCCTAACCGGAAATAAATTACAACAGGTTCTTGACTTCCAAGTCTGTCTTGAAATATAAACACATATATGTGTATATACCTCTAATTTAATATTTGTATTGCTGATAAACATTAATTATTTCACTTTTATAATGTTTCTGCTTTTTCTCATTAGATCGGTTACAGCTGACCTGTTCGTGATCGTATCTCACCTGGGCTCCACTACTCGGGAAAAAAATCTAACGAAAAAAAAAAAAGATTCAAGATTCATAAATTTCAAAGTAAAACCGGTTAGCTGTTTAATTTCACCGGTTAGGTTATCTCTTCAAAAAATTTAATTCTATGGTATTTTCAACAGAAATATTTTGTTTATTACCTATTTTTAAAAATACACATTTCTGATAAAAATCGAAAATGAAAAACAAAAAACAAACTCCCCGGAAGCAGGTTGCGCTGTCGGTCGGGGATCCTACGTGGCACATGGTTTGATGTGGCAGCGTAAGTTTTGCCGCGTGTCGCAACCTATTGGACTTTCCTCTTCCCGCGGATATAAAAACTGAACATTAACGCCGTTAGTAACGGCCGTTGACGACTCCGATTAGGGCGGGAATGTCGGTTGCCTTCCCGCCATATCCCTCGTCTTTCCAAGATATTTTTTTGTTTGTCGAGGGATTCCCAAGATATTTTTAGCAATAAGATCAGATTTTTTCCTGACCTGATTAAGATTAGATATGCATTATATATATTTATCGTTGTAAGAATATATTTTTATAACGGAAAATTAATTCTATAAATACAAATTCCTTGGTATTTTTTTATAGTTTATAAAAAAGCCGGGAAAATAGATCGTGTGTGTTACAGCAAGACGATACCACAAAAAGGATATTTTTAGCAATAAGATCAGATTTTTTCCTGACCTGATTAAGATTAGATATGCATTATATATATTTATCGTTGTAAGAATATATTTTTATAACGGAAAATTAATTCTATAAATACAAATTCCTTGGTATTTTTTTATAGTTTATAAAAAAGCCGGGAAAATAGATCGTGTGTGTTACAGCAAGACGATACCACAAAAAGCAGAAGTGGGTCCTACGTGTCATGCGAGCGACTTTGGTCGGCGTGACTAATTTTATTTATTCGGTAACATAATCATATGTTATATAATATAATATTCCAACAGTAATGAGATTTCATTTGCATTGTAAGAAACCCCTGTAAAGGTGTCTAAAGTATCACGCGAAGGTTCGGAAAACGTAATAAATAATCACGACCATATTATTTTAATTAACTCATGTACAGTTATTAAAGTTTTACATTAATTGATATGTATTTTCATAAAATTAAATTAAGGTTATTTTAAATTTGTTCTTAATATTTTAATAATAAAACTTTTAGATTCTGTAAATTATCAATAGTAAAATATTCGTCCTCCATAAATAAATAGATTTACATATATGGAAAGTTTCACGGATTCCTTATTCTTTACTTTATAACAAAGGAATGATTTTCTACAGAGAGTCGAATATTGCTTGAAGAAATTTAAAACGTTTTATCATAAATAAATATATTAGCCGGAAATTTTATGATTTCAACATTCTGAAATTTACAGGTTTAAATCCTTAATTATCTAAATAATTTTATATTCATAGTTGTAAAAATTCGAAATGTGTAGTGGTGGTGCACTGGCCTGAGAATACAAAGTGTTTTCTTAATCTACGGTTCAAATTTACCGGATATCACCAATTATTAAAAAAAATCAAATAATTTTTCACATTTTAATATGTTCTAATTATCCTTAGAATTATACAATAAATAATTTAGAATCGTTTATAGACTACTTTTAAGAATAGTAATAGACAAGTTTATAATTTTATGACTAACGTTGTTTCCTCTTACAACTTTCATCTAATTATCTTTCTACTTTGATAACTTTTAAATTGTTTTCTTCTTTTTCTCTTATTTTCATCTTTGTATTTCAAATTTAGCCCTAAATCTAAACACTAAACATTAAATTTAAAATTTGAAATGCTAAATCATAAACTCTTATCGTTGAACCAACCCTAACCAATTCTTAATCATTTAACTATAATCCATAAATCATAGAGTTTATAATATAGAATTAGTGTTTTAACCTTAGAATTTGTAATTTAAATTTTAGATAGTAATTGGTATTTAGAATTTAATATTTAGTGTTTAAAATTAAGTATAAATTAAAATTAGTAGAATGAGAAGGAAAAAAAGAATTAAATTAAATGTTACTTATCAAAAAAGATGATTAGGAAGAGATCCTTTAAAAAAAAAAGTAGAAAAATATACCATCATCTCTTCCTAAATAAGATGATATATCCTCATCAAACCTCCTCCTAATATCCTTCTAATCTTTTTATTGTCCCACTTGGCACTTGACAATTAGACTAATTTCTTTTTATATTTTTTATTTTACTACTATTAATTTATTCATAATTTTAAACACTAAACTATAAAATCCTAATAAAACCTTAAATTCTAAATCCTTTGATTACTAATCATGGTTTAAGATTTATAACTGTTTAAAATTTTAAAATTCAATGTTTATAATTTATATATCAGAGTTTAGGATTTGATGTTTAGTATTCCGGATAAAAAAATACTAATAATAAAATGAAAACTAAAATGAAAACTAAAAAGAGGGTTTAAAAATTAAGCATTCGATTTAATAAAAATATTTAGGAAGATATAGCATTGCAAATATTTAAATTTGTGTAAACAATGTATAAAAAAAATGATTTTGCTAATCTCCTAGTCGTCGCCGGATATTTCCGCCGAGGCTTGATTAATCATGTTTTCTCCGTTAAACTGAAATTTTGATAATGTTTCGTGATAGAAATTATATCCATATCAATATTTAAAAAAAAATGATAAAATCTTTGGCAGATCAATATGGGACCCACCTGGAGAATCCAAGCCGTCGATCACGCAACTTAGGTTTGTTTTGACTAGTCAAAGACAGGAGAAGGGAGATTGAGATTTGGTCAAAGACAAAACATGTGGACAATGCATATGACTTGCACAGTCCATGCATTACAGACAGGTCATTAAACTATCAATATAGTCAAATTTTAAGATTTGATTTGCAAAAAGGATAGATCTAGAAAACATTTTATTCCTGAATCATAAAAAAAATAAATTTTCTTTAATATTTAATTGCTATTTTTTCATATATTATATTTAAAATATTAGCGTAGTGATTTCTACATAATTTTTTTATAATCTAAAAATTTACAAAATATTTGGACCAACTAGTTAAAAAATTCAGATAAATATTTTCTCCGCGCTGGATTTGAATTAGGGGTAAAAATATAATTTATATACAATCCAAACTTAGGTAACTTGTACACAAAGTTATTAATATATTCAATTTTCCTTTTAGAATGTGATGTATAATGTCCTGGTGGCATTCTTAATGGCCATTAGATCTGACCAACCAAAATATTACTTGTAAATTACTTTTGGATATTTGAATAATAGGTATTACGTTCACAAGTTAAAGTAGTTAAACATTACATATTGTATGTATTTCTCACGTCATAATAACTTAAAAAAGAATTAAAACCCATCTTAAACTTTTCATTAATAATAACATGTTTTGTTGCTTTTTAGATTGAAGGCTAGTTAACGTTAGAATTAAAAAAAAACATATTCAAATGTAGTCGTAGGAGAAAATAATAAGTAAAAAAATTAAGTTTGATGGTAGTTTGAAAAAAAAACATGGGACAATAACTTGGCTTGTAAGTTTAGAATTTTGAAGAGCCCAATTTCAATAACCATTTTTTTCATGCTAAGATTTGATTTGGCTCATAGCTCCAAGATACCGACATCTTATTAGTCGATAAATAATAAAATATTGATGCCTATTAAATAAATTTCTAATATCTGTTTTGTTAACCATATCCTGAAATATATATATATATATAGTGTTATATAAATAAGGTGGACGTAAGTACATGGATACGGGTGTTTGCATCCAGCATTTTTTTTATAATAAATAAACTTTTATGTAAAACTTATAAAATTTCGTAGAAATATTGTCAATATTGCGATCAAATGTTGTTTGTACGCTTCTAATAAATTATTTTGTTATATCTGTTAATATATATATATAGTTTGTTTGTCTTTTTATTATATTGGTGATTGTCCAGTTGAAATTCGAACAGGAGAGTGAAAGACTACTTTGTATTCTCACACCACTGAACCATCACGTCTAGACATATATATATCTATATATATATATAGTTTGTTGGTCACATGTAGATATTAGAACTCTATCAACGTGAAGTTTTATAACCATAAGTTTACATTTGCTTGGGCGACACTTTTGCCCACATGTTTCTAATATCCATGGCACGGTTCTATGGCGTATGTTTCCTTCCTTGCCCACCAAAATTCACAAGAAAGATAAGTTTATATATCTATATCTATATATATATATATTCACACATGCATAAACTAATATAGGTTAATAACACCCGCGCATATAGGTAAATTTAATTCTAGTTATTTAAATTAATTTACATAAATTAATAAAAATAAGTATCATATGTGAACCTATAAATAGGACCCATCCACCCTTTGACCCGGATGTCAAACAGTGCAGCCCGAATCCGCGCTGGATCCGAGTGTTTCGGGTTCGAATCGGTCCGAATTTTTGGGATTTTGAAAACTAAACCCAAGTTTGACTGTATAAAACTCGAGTATTGTCCCATTTGATTAAGGTTGTTATTTTTTGTTTTCATTTGAATTATATTTTTTTACATTTAAAAAAATCGGACTTTCGAATGGATCCGAAATCTGACGGTTTAATCGGATCAAATCTGATGCCTTATTTGAACCCGGTTCGAAAATTCATATTTTTTTTCGGATCTATAAATTTAAATTCGAATCCAATCATTTTTTAGAGTCTAGACTATGATTATTCCCCATTTTAAAATAATTAACTGTAAAACTATAATTGACCATTTCAACACGAGCTCAAAAGAGTTTGGGCATTATCAGCAGCACATTAATGTGGCCCGAATTCATTAAGATATGTTATT